AATGATATGTGAAGATTTGGTATAAATTAATTCAAAAATTTTATCATCCTATTTTATTAATTCTATAATATCAGGCTTCTTTCCTATCTGCTTTTTGATTACTTCTTAATTTTTTTGAGCCTTACTTGCTAAATTTTAATGCTTAGCTCTGTAATATAACAAAAATAAATTATATAAGTATTTTATATCTTACATGATTTTATCAGTTTTTTCACTTACGTGCTTAAGCAAATATATTTATTTGAAAGATTCATCAGACTTGCTTAAAGTAATAGAACTATAATATTTATAACTTAAGTCCCTTCACTTTATTCACTAAGAGATGTACTTATAGCAAATATCAGATTACTCAATATCTTGCCATTAGTGAAAAAGAATATGTTAAAAATATTATGATTATTTATATAAAAAATGGTGAAAGTATTTACAGCATAACTAAAATATATTTCGCAACTTTTATTAAATCAAATTTATTCTCTTTTCAAGATTTATTATGTAAAATATTTTAGTCATTCTTGAAATAACTGATTTGTTGAAATTCTTAACCAAATGAATTACACTTAGCCACAATCAAAATGGAAAGATCACATTTTATTTTCTCACACAGTTTCTAATTTAGAAAAAATTAAGTAGATATAATCAATATTGGAAAAATTCACTTAAACACTCTCTTACAGATCAGTTAGGTATGACTGATCAGGAAAGATTATTCTCAGATATTTTTTCTCATTACTTAACATAATTATATTGAATATATAATAATTTTTTATCATAAAGACATGTTTCTGCCTGTGTTTAAAAGTATTTATCATTTCTGAATTATCGTTAAAAACTATACTTGCCTCTAGATCTCATCATATAAGTTGTAAGATATTGATGTTATTAACTTTTTTCTTAAAAGTATCATAGAGAGATACATTATCTTCTATCATTAGATGCTATTAAAACAAAGCATTTTATAAACTCTGAAATATATAGAAATAATAATAAAATAGCATGATATATACATTAAGCTTTTCTTTTAATAAATTAATGTTCTGTTCTATTTCTTCTCTTATATTATCAGATGTCAAATTTTTTTCTAAAAGCTGATTAGTCTGTGTGAAATATGTGTATAGGGTTTTGTAAGAGAAAATTATGAATAAAATTTATTCGTAATTTTCTCTTATAAAACCCTACACACGTTCTAATATTATAATATTTTATATTATATTCAGCACCTTTATTGTGTTTATTCCTATAATACTTTTGTATTCGCTTTTTATCTATAATAAATTTATATCAAATATTAGTATATATTAGTGATCACGTAAATATAATAAATGTGGATAATATTTTACATGTGTATTATCAGATATTTTAATTAAAAGTAAGAATAGTCACATATAGCTAAAAGGTAGTAGAAATTCTTAACATCTAAAGAAATTTCCTAACAATATCACTCTTTCAGACTGTTATCTCCTAACCTTAGTAATGACATACTAAAACTATATCCATTATAGCTGTCGTAGTTTCATCAGTCAAAACAGTTTACATATCATAATTTCATCTATTATTATTAACCTCTGGTAAAATCTCTAAAACCTTTAATTTTCATTCAAAATCTTCTATTTTTAATAATGATGACCTAACCATTCATTTTACTATTCTTTGTATAGAGGTAAATTATTTTTATTCATTATATGATATATAATAGTAGCAGAGTATATAGCATCAAAAGGTCCTTCTAACAAAAGAGTTTTAATCTTAGCTACTAAATTTGCCATAATAAAAATTTGTTAGTAGTCTAATAAAATATCTTAGCAACTTGAACTAAAAATTTTGTATACTTGCTCTTTTAAATGATTCTATTTTATATCTCTCTTAATTTGTATTAATGTTGGAAAAGAGATAGGAGAAATATGCAAGGCACTTTAAACTAAAATTTTATGTTTAAGAATAAGACATGCGAAATGTGTATTGTAGATCTCAATATTATAAAAATATTGAGAAATATACATATATATACTTTTTTTATTTCATTTACTCAATCACTCAGTAATAAAGTTCTAGTAATAATATATAAATATACTCTGGTTAGAATCTAATAGTTATAGCTTCAGAGGAAATAAATTTATAAATGCTATTCACTAGAAAAAAATTTGAAATATTTTTAAGATTGGTTTCTTATGTGTAAAAATTAATTTGTCACACAAGCAGTTATATAGTTACAAATGATTTATGATGTATCACTTATTACATCATATATACTTTAACAAGGATCAAAAATGTGCTAATTTATGTCACACATACTAATATACATTGTAGTTGAATAATAAATTATTTAGTCTTGAAGGAATCCTGTCAGGAAAAAAATAGCTAATTGAATATATTTATAGAGTTTTTTTTGTAAAAAATATATTTCATAGCTTTATGTTTATATAAAAATACTGATTATACTATTGTTAACTTTTTGAGAACGCTCTAGTTATGCTTTATGATTATACCACCAGTCTCTAGGTATTGAAGTATAGATATTCGAGTTAACTTATCTCAACAGTTCTTTTCTGATAAATTATCTACTAATGTGATTTTCTTTAGTATTAAGATAATATTTGAGATTCTGTGTTCATTTTATCATGATATACTAATAAAATATACTAGAAAGAACTATATAATCTTTCTATTATAATAATTTCATAACACATTCAAAGGTTATCCAATTTAATCAGTATGTTAATTGATTTCATTTCTCTTCTGCCAAGTTCTAGTATTATATAAGATATAATTATATAGTATGTGAAAATAATCAGCTTTTCTGCTATCTTTTATTAGTTTTTTTATTAATATAATAATAATATTTATCATGAGGAATAATACCTAAATACTTCTATCTCTCAGAAGTACCATCATTCCTTATTGCTTCCTAAATTCATTTTGCCAAAGATTCTGATCTTTTCTTGTAATTTCTGTAAGCTCGCTGAATAACTACTGCATAGAAATTCTTAAACTGATAGTTAAATTGTCTCGCAATTAAGAATTTCTAAAAGTGTTTCATTGATCTTCCTGAGCTTCTTGAAAAATACTTTATTAAAATAATTATAGATTAGAGGATTTAACTTAGAATAAGCAGATCATGCATAGCATTTTTGGCCAATTTTTCACAGGCGATAGTTTATACAGATTATATAATGCAAAAAATAAGTTGTATTTCAGTTGAAAGCAATAGTCTATAATTAAAATATTTTTCAGTTAAACTAGTTAAACAATCATAACTTTTATTTTATCTCTTAATCCAAGCACTGTGCCTTTTGGCTGATTGAAAGTTTAAGTTATTTTGTTTTGTGTATATAGATAAGATAAATATTTCGCTCTCACTTGTTCTATCAAACTGCGAGAGGGAATCAGGTATAATTTTTCAGAATATAATGTCCCCTTCTGGTCAGAAAATTTTTCACGCAGCTTTTAAGAGACAAATGAGCATACGGTAATGAAAAAATGGATCATTTATATAAGTATTTTCTCCACATAAAAGAATAAAGGTTTATTTCTTTTCTTGTTAATAATGCTATTGTTAACAAAGAACTTGTCTTTTTTATTTGCATTACATTGAATTAAATACAAGTACAGGACTTGTGATTCATATCCTATTCACTTTACTAAGAAAAATTTCACTATTCTGATTTCGAGAAAGCAGGTACTTCTTTTTTTGAACCATAAGAAAAAGAGTATTTCTCGCTGGCACTTTCATATTGCAGTATACTGTGATCCTATTTCATATTTGAGTAAAAATTATTTTTTGTTAGAAAAAATAATGTGCGTAACACCTACTCATAAAAATAAATTCACGTGACTTATTACGTTAACAACTTGATTTAATTTTATCAAGGGGTGTGATTTTATGGCTTCGAGTATATCATGTGATTTAAATATCTTGGCTATAACATACGCAATTCGCATTTCGCACAGTCTTTATTGGATGTTCAATATACAGTAACATTGTTGTACAATATATATTTTTTATAATTCGATAATCAAAATTAAGTTCTTTAATGTACTGTACCTGCATATGTTTTGATTTAAAACAAAAAATGGAAAATTTTCGTCAAATTCCGTTAAGTTGTACATGCAAAGTCTGCGTAAGTTTGTTGTCAATCGATAAAAAAAGGAATTTCTATTGCTAACATTTTGCGTTACGTTATTTTGTTTGGATTGATTAATTTCATTGTAAAATATTCTTTTTTAATCCCGGAGATATTCTACCTTTTTTTCGCTCAGACCCGGCAACGTTATATAGATATTATTCTACTCGGAATATAATAGAAATATCCCGTACCTCCGGAGTAAATTTCATATCAGTAAATGCTATTCTGCTAAATCTTATTCTGCTAAATGTTGTAAGGGAAATATTTTGGAGAATCGATTTCTTATGATTTGTCGCACAAGCAGTCACACAGAGGAACAGATGATTTGCGGTGTATCACTTATTTACATACACTTTAAATGAGGATCAAAAAACGGCATTGTGGCGGAATAAAATACTATTCATTGATATTTTTCAGGATCCTGTAATGATTTTATCGTATATCTCCATGGGTGATAAATAATTTGGAATCCCCATTGTGCACTATAATTTCCTCCGTAACCTTGTCGTTCTAATATTTCCTTTGTGCTTTTTTATCTAGTCGTTGACTTAACTGATATTTCTTTTGTTCTATCCAACAAAATAAATATATTCCTTATAAGCTGTGGCCATTTTGGCTAGATTATAATTTTCAATAGGGTATTTGCTATTTTTTTTAAACCTGTCAATAAATTTATCTAAATTTAAAGTATATTCTTCTTGAAATAGAAAAAAAATAATTTTCAAAAAAAAAATGAAATTGTAAAATATCGCCAACACGAACCAAAGAACTTACCAGAGAATTCCAGACGTAGTCCACAAGCGAAACCTACAAAAAAACACGAAATTAGCAAGGAAGACAAAAAAACACTGCAAAAACCAACCCAAGAAATATATAATGCAGGCATCTAAACTACAAAGTCCAAAATCAAATTTTGTTGCTAATTCAACAGGAGATTTAGCAGGGAATATAGCAGGAGAAACAGTAGGAGATATGGTAAAAGAGGAAGTAGGAAATGTGATTGCAGAACAAGTGGCGGGAAAAGTGGCAGAAGAAGTGGTAGGAAGGGCAGTAACAACTGCGGTTTCATGTTGTTGCGTGGTACAATAAAAGATGAGAGATTTGAATTAAAGGGAGAGTTTACTCTCCCTATCTAATAAAAGCACTTTATTTAATGTTGATGGTGAAAATATCAATAATGTGATCAAAGCTGGACGGAGCTGTTGAACGGGAAGATAATTGCATACAAAGTTATCATGAATTGTACAGTTATCAAATCACCATCTTTTTTATATATATATATATAAGATATTCTTTTTTTTAAATTAATTTTGTTTTATATTATCAAATATCAATAAAAGTCAATATTATTATTTATCAATTTTTAATTTTATCAGTTTTCGCAGGTTTCGTCAGTTTCGCAGGTTTAACAGTTTCTCATTTTTTCAAATTTTTAGAAAAACGTTTCAACTAGTTTCTCATACGTCAGTAAGCTAGACCTATAGGTTTCACCCAGCAACCTTGACTATGACGGCTAAATTATTTTCAGACCCATGACGTTTATAAAAACTTGTATCTCCAGCACTTCCTCGCAACCTTCCCGCAACTCAAATCACGATAAAAAAGGTTGATCTTTGATGACTGACAAAAATCCTAACGACGTTAAAGAGTGGTCCCCAGAGCACGTTAAAAAACATCTTGAAGAGCATATGACTTCATCTAGATATGATAATAATGACATAGAAAGATGTTGATGGTTACACTTTTCTCCGCTTAACCGAAGAAAAGCTTACCAATACGAATGGCCCGTTTAAATAAAATTGGGACACGCCTCTCATATCATGAAGTTAGTAGAGGGACTTAAAGAAAAACGAGGTTAGTAATTGTATATCTTAATGAAATAATATTTGGTTTATTCATATTATTTCCATTTTTTTGTAGAATCCTCTCCTGTGTCCGTTGAAGTCATAACCGCCACCAAATTTGAAAAATTTCGTAAAAGTACTAGAAAGCAATATTAAAGGAATTAATAATCGTTTACTTATCATTACTTATCCCTTAAAAACCATTTAAGAAATCTAGATCGATAAATCAAAATAACATAATTATTTTTTTACTTGCATGTTGTTTCGGCAACAATTTTATAAAATAAAGAGAGGTCTTTATGGACTATGAGTTAAAAATTCACAATCCTGCATATACACTTGTAAAAACACACAACATGTTCAAAATCAAAGTAAAGCTCTTTATTATATTTTTGTAGATAATACCAGCATAGCGGGCTCACAAAAATGTTGATCATTTTGCCGATCATTTTTTATTATATCACAAAAAATCGGTTTGTCACGATAAATTTAATAAGTCTTCGTATTAATATTCTCACTAATTCTGCATTTAATTGAAGCTTGAATTTATTGAAACTGAATTACCATTAGCCAGCTTTTATAAGCAATAGCAATTTGACTAATAATTAATAAATTAAAACAGTACTGTACGTATATGCGATATATTTAACACATTAAAGTTAGTTGATCATGATCGGCAAGACAATGCACAAAAATATAATTTATTTGTAAATGTCTAAATAAAATATGAAGTGATAAAGATTGACACGGTAGACTATATTTTTTTCATCTATCAATTATTCCTGCTTGTAAAATTAGAATTTAATTAATAGGAACGATTCTGACTTTGTACTATAAATATTAAAATATTAATAAAATAAATACAGTAAATACTTTAAAATGTATTTAAGTAATTTACAACAAAAATAAATATCAATTACTTTAATCAATTCCAAATTTTGTCATTGACAATATGACCTAAACAATTCCAATGCCTCCTTTAATTTTCTATTTATATTTTCATCTGTAAAAACTATTCCATCAACATTACTATCCTCTAAATAATCAGCTTGATCTTCTAAATTATCATCATTATCTTTATCAACATTATTATCAAAAGCCATATTTAAAGTATTCTGGAAAATCTTGCAATGATACTTAATACTTTCACAAAGATATTCATAACAATATGAACATCTTTGATTTACTTGGTTAAAACATTTTATATGAAAACTATGACTATATGACAAAATCACACCTTGCACCTCTGATGATAAATTGCATTTATTCCAATCACATAGCTTGTCTGTTCTAGGATGAAAAGATGAATTCCAACCCATTAGAAGAACTTTTCATATACAATTTTACCAAGAGTCAGTAAATTATACTACCAATATTTCTTAACCTTCTTTTTTGTTATACATCCACAATTTTTTTAGACATTTTAAATAAATTCAAAAGAAAAATTGCTGTCTTTTTTTTCAAAAACTCCAATTGTTTTACTGTATAGGTAATATTATAATTATTTGAAAAATTTTTGTTAAAAGATTTATTATCACATGCTTAATTAATTACTTTTGCTTGATGAATAATTTGCTTGGCAATATTAAAACTATTTGTTTGATGCTGAATAGAACTATAAAAGTTTTCTACAAAATAATCATTGAAGATGCGAAAGGAAGTTTTAAGAGTTTTTGCTATTAGATGTTTAATATATTGTCAATAAAAAATATCACTAAGGAATGTTAATAGAAGTTTATTATAATTTTTGCTATGATATTAATTAAAAATAATTCATATGTGTAACATTACTTCTTCATATGCTTTTCAACATCTACTATGAAAAATTATTGGATAAAAATCTAAAACTAATAGAATTATATTATCTAATAAATTATTAATAAACATGTATACCTTAAGATCTTTACAATTATAAAAAAATTTTTAGATGTATTCTTTAATTAAAAGCCAGCCCTTATATGCAAGTTCTAAAAGAAATTAATTCAATATAGTTTTAGTTTTTAGTAAGAATTTTGCAAAAATCAAATATTGAATGATACATCTTTTCAAAAAAATCATAATTGATAAGAAATACTATTTCTCAGCTATTTAAAGACATATGTAAAGGACTAATTATTAAGAATCTGTGAAAGTACATCAGATTTTTTTCTATTAATTATATAATATACAATAGCATAACGAATATTTTTTTGTTCAGAATAATCCATAGAAGCAATTAAAATAATTTTTTTAAATATATGTATATTTTTGAAATATTGATAATTGGTTATATTACTAAAATATAATTCTTTGTTAAATATAAATTGTCCTTCAAAAGATTAATTAATTTTATATTCTTTATATTTCGATCATTCTTTCATTTAGCAATTCATGTATCATAGTAATGTATGTATAAATGTTCAACACATTTTTTATGAGTTTCATATAATTCAAATAAATTTATAAAGGATTTTTTTTATTCTTGATAAGGTATGCTTAATTCTTTCATAAATCATAAATCAAGTTGAATAATTATATTATTAGAATTAATATTTTTAAATTTTGAATGGTAAGTTGATTTGTAATATTATAAAATGGAATAGCAGAAATTTGGGGTAATGCTTTCATAAGTATTATAACAAAGTAAGAAGCATTACTAGTAATAATAGAATCTGGTTAACATATGGTGTGAATATTATAGTAATCATTTATATTTAGAATAATTAAACAATTTTTCTAATAAAATATATATAAAAAAATATATTATTAAAAATCTAAAGATATAATATAAATTTATTTTACCAAATACTTCTAATATAAAGAATAAAAAAGAATATATATTAAAATAAATTTAAAAAAACTTATATTATTAATCATATAATCCTTAACAGTTTGTTAATATGAATTAAATAATTATTTCTTTTATCTTTGAATAGTTTCTCTTTTTAACTGTAAGACTAATATTTGCTAAAATTTCAATTGTTAATGCTGAAGTCCCTAATGCATTTAGTAAAAATCTTACATCTACTTTTACATTATTAATAAATTTATTATTAACAGTTAGTCGAGATGTCTCATTAACTGCTAATCCTTAATTGTAAATGTTGTGTAATCTTATTTTACATAACTTCTTTTTTTAACCATTTAACATATAATTTACAAACGAACATAATACTTAATAATTCTATGTTTCAAGCTTCAAATTACAATATTAGCAGTATTTTTTTTGTATTTTGAGTTATTAACAAACAAATTATAAGCTTATAAAGTAAGTATTAAATTTGGTATGTTTGAGAAGGATTCTTTTTTTTTACCAATTGTTAAAATTTTACAAGTATCTAGTGATGTAATGCGAATCTTAGTTACAAAAAAAAATTAAAAACAAAAATATTTATTTATTAAAGTGGAAATATGAGTAGAATTTCATTTTACAGCCTGATTAATTATTAGTAAAAAAAAATCAAAATATCATTATTTTCAAACAAAAGTTTTATTAATTGCTATTTAATTGTCTACTATCTTATTCTTCTTCTTTCTTATTAGTAATACCTTTCTTATATCGATTTCTATAATATTGAATAATTTGATGTTTATTCCAAATATCAGAAGATGGTATATTTTCTACTAAAACATCCAAATAATTTTGTATTTCTTCATCTGTAGGTAGGTTAAAACGTTTGACCATTAGCAAAAAAATTTGAATTGCTTCTTTTAATGGTATTCGACATATTCGTTTTTTGGAAGATGCTTTACTTTTATTAGTTAATAAAGATTCTTATTGTAGATTCAATATTTCAATACTATTAGTATCTTCAACTGCCCTTTTCCTTTTGTTTCTTTTTTCTATCTGGATATCTTTATATTTTGTTACCACTATTTCTTTGCCCTCCGTCTAACAGTATTAATTGTTTCTGTTTTTAATACTTCCTGATTATATATTAGTTTTATATGATACAAACTTCGTCTATAACATTCTTTTAATCGTTTAATTCCTTCTGCATGCATCTCTTTAGAATAAGTTGTATAAAAAAGATTATTAATTTAATTAAATGTATTATAATGATATGCCTTAATAATTAGAATAAATATTATTTAAAAAAATAATGATTATTAAAATATAAATTATATAAAAAAAAAAATTATTATACATACGTTAAAAGCTTTTAATAGTTTATTTACAAGATTCTATGTAGAATCTTTTTGTGCATCTACAGATTGATTGTAATTAGATATTGTGATATTATTTAAATATTCATTAAGTAATATTTCAATTCGTTTATATTCCATTTGTACAGCTTTCACCTGAAGCTTAAGATTTTTAGAATCTATAACATTTCTGATTATATTTTGTTTGACAAATTTTACACTAAAAATCTCCAATGCCTTATTAAATGCAAGAAAATGACCTTGTTTTTCTTCTGAAATCTTAAAAGATGATACCAATTGTAGTTTTTCTTCTAATTTTGGATATCTTTCAAGAATTCCAATAAAGTGTGCTATTGATTGTGCATAATTTAATTTTTCAGCTGATGGAATAAGAGGAACAAATGCTGATAAAGTATACCTCTAAATATTAAAGTTTCTAATTCGAATTCTAGCTTTATACGCAAGAAAAAGTTCAGCCCAATGGTAAAACAAATACTAAACTTTAAGTACTTGATATTTTCATCCAATATATTATTCTTATACAAATTTTTTGATTTTAAATAAATTTGTAATGCAATGCCTACTGCAACCCATATAAACTCTATAGTTTTTACTGTAGATTGATAATCTATTATACTTTCAAATTTATCTAAGAATTTGATACCTATTGCAACACATAAATCAAAGATTCCATAGCTTGAAAATATTGTAATAAGAGCTGATGCCATATCTTTATTTATATATCACTGTCCAAGTATTGGATATAGATTTAGTCATTTTTGTCACAAATTTGTTAAACGTCAGTAAATAGATTCATCAGCAACAATATTCAAATAATTATCAGAATCTAAAGAAAAATCACTTTTATATATTTTTACTGATTGATAGATCCCTTTATTATTATTTAGAATTCTACCAGCTTCTAAAATTATCATATGCGAAGAGTGACCAAAACATCCATGAGCCAATTTTTCCAAAATTTTATCATGTATTGTAGATGCATCAAAATCCATCATATATTGAAGTTCACCATTTGAATAATAAAAAGCTAAGCATTCATCAAATATTTTATCAAAACAATCCAAAATTTAGTGTGCTTTATCATTCATTCCAAAAACTTAATTTGTTACTAATTCATTTTTGTCATCTTTGTTTCATTAATTGGATTAGGTAATTCAGTTTGAAAAGCTATCTGAAGTGTTGTATGTGATATTTCTCGTGTTATGTTAAAAATATTATCGTAAGTAAAAGTTTTCTGTTTAAAATCTATATTGTCTATAACAGCAAGATTCTAAATATTTGGATCTTGTTTGAGTCTTTCTGTAGGATTAACTTGATTCATTCTCTTCTTTTTTAATACGCATTCATAATTATTACTATGAGATATAATTTTTAAAACCGCAAGAAGTTCTGTTAGGTCTGTTGCCAATTTTGATTTTCTGGTCAAACTAGTTACTACTTGAAAAAACCAAACTTGAATTGAAGGAAATGTTATAGAAATTAAAATTGAAAGAAACAAGGAAACAATTTTAGTAATTCATGTTGAATTACTGAGTTTAATTAATTTATTTTTTTGACATTGTTTTTTATTTACTATTATCATTTTTTTTTGTATATAACATTTAACAGACTATAAAAAAAACTTTTCAATCATGTTGAAAAGGCATTTACATAATCATTAAGAGTTAGTAGATTCCGTAATAATTTATGAAACGCATCAAGTTCTTTTTAGGATTTTCAAAGCTTGTTAGCAAATATTTCTCCTAAATTTTTGCAATATTGTTCATCTAATTCCTCTAACAAAATAGAATCGCTATTGATTTTTTTTAGTTGAAAAGCAATTGAAGGTAAAGCAAACTAGGAATAGATAAATCTAATGTTTCTATAGTTGATTTTAAGATAAATATAGAAGAATATTTTATATCTTTCAATATTTAAAATATTAAAGGTGCAACTGTAGATAAAATTAAACTTTGAATTTTATTTTCGCTATATTTTCCCATTGTAATTAACCATTTGCCAATCATTTAAAGTTATTCTAAAGTATCAGCTATATATTATTCATCACAATTTATTGCTTTTTTTCTTTTTTCAGGTTTTATATAAAGGTATCCACCATTTTGTGTAAAACATGTAGCATATATAAATTGTGGTCTATATACATTTTCTGAAGCCATTTCACATATATCATCACATTCTTTTAATACTTTATAATTGATTTGCCTGATGCATAGTGTTAATATTACTCAATCCAAAATATTCCAAGAATATTGCTCGCAACTTAACCTCTGTGTAAAATAATAATGATTATGATGGCAAAATAAACATTGCCGATATTGAATGTGACTTTTTTTGGTATTTTTATTTGATTTGGATTTTTTATTATACATTTTTTATTCAAAATTAAAGTGAGACATATATACTCCCAATCTGGATAGATCATTATCAACTTAATTAATAATTTCATTATTAATTTGCTAAAGACCTATTAATTTATGTAACCTTTTATTGCAATTTTTTTGCATCACATATTTGAATCTTGCCATCGATATTATCTATTAATACACAGGATGTTAATTTTTTATTGGAATCTACTTCTATTATTTGTGAAAGTTCTTTTTTTTGGCACACTTCTTGTTCTAAATCTGTATCCTCTTCTTCAGCATCACTTTGTAGGATAAAATCATCTTGTTTTTTATCTAAAGAACTTAATGCTTGCAAATAACTATCATTATCGAATTTTATTATGAAATATTCATCATCACTATCTATCTCAAAAAATTCAGAATATGCGTTATCATATTCATTTTGACAGTTATTCTTTTTTTTGAAATTTGAGAGATAAGGATGGTAAAATAGAAAGGGGTGAAGGAAAGTAAAGAAGTGGTAAAAAGGTATAAAAGCAATAAAAAATGTTAGGAAGTGGTAAAGAAGAGGTAAGGAAAGAGAATATTTTTTAGTAAATTTTTTATTTTTTAATATTATAAATTTATTTACTTTATAATTTTCATTAGAAAGTCATTAACAATATATATACATTAGGTTTATATTCATGAATATAGAGATTTTTTATTGTGTAACTTTTAACGATTTCAAACTTTTGAAAGTAAGATTCTTTTAAAAAAAAGAATGGTAAAGTAAAAATAAATATATTATCTCCTTATGCTATTATCTGATATAATTTTTTTCGTAATACTATATGATTATATGCATTTTATTATAATAGGAAGTAGAATTTTAATATAGTTAAAACCGAATTTTTATTATATATAAATGCCATTTATAGCAAACCACGTTGTGACGGGTAAAATTTTAGATAGATTTAATTGGTAGTTTATTAAGTCCATTTTATTGCCATGTAGATCTTCT